GACCCCTCTTGGTCGCTGGGAGACCTCGCTCCAACACTTGGAAGTATGATCTTCGGATGTCCTGACTGGCGCGGGGTGCAAAGGTCGCTCCAGAAACCCGCCCCGAAGTACGGTTGATCTGGAGCGGGTAGGAAAGGTCGCTACGTGACCCCGCTCCGGTACTTGATGAATTGTTGCTCCGGTGCGACGAGTTCAGAGCAGGGGCTAAAGGTCGGCTGGACACCCGCTCTGAGGCGCGGTAGAACTGGAACGGCCCCCAAAGGTCGGTGTGGATACCCGCAGTGATACTCCTCGCAATAAAGTTGTCTTTTTAGCCTTTCTTGAACCAAAACTACTCCAAACTCCCTTAAAAGCTTCTTGAGGTACTCCATCACCTAATGTAAACAAATGCAAATGGATATGCAACCTAAAAATACTTTTATGCAATCCTAAACTCTAATATGCATAAGAAATGGTTAGTTAATTCAATGAAAATCACAAGATATCAATTACAAGAGATGTAGAGAGGATATGTTGAGAATTGAGACGTATCCAAGGGATTATATAATAACAAATAATGTCTAACTTCTTCATAACTGCGTCATCACGAGGAAAAGTGGTTCTCCTCGTGGAGATATGGAACATCGTGGGTAAAATTGAATGATAACTACTCCTTTTTGTCATGAAAATCACTATCAACCACGGAAATCGTGGTGAGAAATTTGGTAACGCTTTTTCAATCGCCTTTTTCGAATTTCATTCGTAATTATTTATTTTAGTTATTTTGTAAAATTTTAGATAAATATGATGGATTTTAACTGAATTTTGATGAAATTCAAATACATTGAACTAGGTGTTTTAAAATAATTTTCTAACGGATAATTATTTATTAGGTCTTATTTGCCAAATAAAAAAAAAGAAAAGAAAAATTAGTTTTCTAGTGAGAGAGTAGAGAGAGACAGGGAGAGAAATGAAGAGAGAAGGGGAGATTTTAGTTAGTTACTTAATTTAGTTTTTTTCATGGCTATTTCACCTAATTTCCCTATTTATTAGTTTGTGTTTTATTAATTCAAAAACCAGCTTAAGAAGTTATTGTTTATGTTTTTAAAATTTTTGAATCAAACATCAAATTAATTATAAATGATAACATTCACATATCAGAAATATTTTAGAAAAATATAGTTATACAAATGTTTTTGCTTAATTTCTTTTTAATTATAACTTTTTATATCTTTATTTTAGATTTTTATGATAGAAAATATATTTTCATGATAAAAATATAATACAGAAAATTACCATATTTTCTAAAAATATAACATTATTAATATAAATTTACTTTAATTATATAATAAATTATATATAAAATTATTAAAAACATAACAAAAGAAATAAAATTATCTAAAATCATGGAGAATTTGACAAATCAGCAAATTTACTTTTCAAATAATAATATAGAACTTTTTCGGTCTTGACCCGATCCGAACCTGCTAATGACCCAAAAATTGTAGGCACGCTACATGTATTTAATTATAAACTCGAACCGTCCTAAAGCCAAAAACAATCTACCCGAATCCTAACCCTCTTTTCAAGTATTAGTTTGATTCAAATATCAACACCGAAGGACCCGAAATCGAAAAAAAATAACCCAAACCTGACCCCCAAGTCATGAATACCCAAATCTATTAGAAATATTACCTCTAAAGGGTTGCACAAGAACACTGTAAAGGTATTAATAAAAACAATGGCAACACTTGAATCGAAAGGTTACCAATATAGTTACTATATAACAATAGTATTCTGGAAATCTTGATTGCAAAGTAGAAAAATTCCAACAAAAGAAGTCAAAATGGGCAGAAAAGAAAGAGCAACGTCCAGTCTCTTTTCACCTACCTACAAAGTCTAGTTCCAGTTGAATATCTCGCTGAGGGAGCTCCAAGTACCTGAGACAGCTAGAACGAGGCCAAGTAGCACGATCCCAGTGTTCAAAGTCTGTTGCTTCCACCCTATTTCGTCTTTGAAGACAATCAGATGAAACAAAGCAGGCAACACGAAGCCCAACGCACAGCAGACACTGCTTCCCACCAATGACAAAAAATCTGCAAAGTTCGGCACCAAGAGAGCAACCATGGTCACAGCTAAGACGAGTAGCCATCTGAGCCAGACGCAGTACATACCACTCCGAAAACGTCTCTCAACAATCTCAAAGACAGGGTTCATCATCAGTGGGAAGGTGAAAAAGAGGTTGATGCAGAGTCCCAGCTTCACGAGGCTGCTCACCAGTCCGGCGCCCAAGTTGGCTGTGATTATATCCATTGTATGATCCCCAAAAGCCATGTAACCTAACACACCGAAAGCTCCAAAAATCAACGCTATGACGCCCATGCTGAGCGCCAACACTTTGCCAAACTTTTCTTTGTCCTTCATTTCCGATTCCAGGGGCAAAACCATCCCCACCCCTTCGAAGGCGTAAACAGCCACTCCCATCCCATAGAAGAAGACTGACATGCCACCAAAGGCAACCACGTCAGGCCTTTGCCCCACTGCAATCTTCACATCCTCCACAATCACCACCGCCATTGCGCCAAGATCAACCACGTCGGCGAATATGCTCAGAGGTGCCAAGTGAGTGAGTGTCTTGATGGAGTTCAAGCCCAGCTGAAAAGGAAAACATCCCCATATGTAGAGACTCTTAGGGGACACGCTTGTTAGGGTCAGGGTCAGAGCGGTGGATGGGTTGAAGAGATTAGCTAAAGTAGTACCGATAAATATGAGATATCCGACACAGAAGCCAGCCTGGGACAAGATAATAAGAACGTCAACGAGGAACCTCCCGAGTGGGCCACAGACAGCGAAACCAAGGTCTCCGAAAGAGCCAATGTTGGCGACACCGAGCTTGCGGCGGATGCGAACGAGAAGCATCATGCAGTGGGTGATCAAAGCGGCAACGGAGAAGAGCGTGAGCACACCCATGAGCCATCCCGTACGCTTGAAGGCGTAAGGAAGACCTAGAACCCCAGCCCCGACGATAGCAATAAAGACATTGGCGAAGGTCTTGAACTGGCTCGACAAAGGCCTTTCCTCCCCAAGAAGGGGTGTGTCCTCTCTCGCCGGTCCCATGTTATCGCCGAAAAAGCCAGAGATTGGGCTTTCTCCGAAATCAAATTGATCAAAAAAAGATAGATGGATGATTAGCAGCTTTCGCTCTGCTTTTAACTACCGCCTGAAATAGTATCTTCTATTAAAAGCAAACTCCCTATCCCTCGTAGCTTCAATTTGGTATAGTCATTTCTCTCTCTTTCTCTCTTCATTTAGAGATACATTTCTGTTTATGGAGGAAGACACATGGCGAGCTT